ATAGAAACGATAACTGGGTCTTCGCAAAGTCGGCAATAGAATTTTCTTTTTCCATGAATACAAACAGAAGAACCTTCACAATATAAACATTTACACTTTTCTTTTCCGTGGGGGCACTTATTATTCTCTCTATTTTTTTTCGAATAAGCTCGGCAACTAGCACAGGTTCTTAATATTCTCTCACACTTTAAAAATTCTTCTTTTGATTTAATTTTCTTACACATCCCACAGCGGATATCTATTACTTCCATTATAATAATAATTATCTAATTCATAAGGTAAATCCAAGAGCCCTAGTATGAATACGATCTTCCATAACGATTCTCTTATCATCCTCRGCCGACAGAGCWACCTTATTAACCGTCTCAGCATAGATCTGRTGGCCCTCCGATCTAAGAACRTTCATCTTTCGCATCTGCGATTTMCCAGTGAATAAGCAATCTTTATAATCTTCRAARGAAATAGTATCTTYKACKACGGATTTYTTRATCCCCTTACATTTYTTCTYRRYGWCTTCMTCARTTYTATARGCATATAAYTTCGCYCTYARACCGACAAATTCTGTAATTTCCTTTCCCKCTGTTTCATCTTTCATAAGTCCAATAACCTTTTTATTAAGTTTCTTATCAATAACTGGGTGATTGTCATAAGCTGAAGTATCGAATTTTGCTTCTAGATCAGGATAGATGTCTTTGTAAAAGTCATCGGTTTTTATTTCGTATAGAAGGCTATCAGTATCAGTGAAACATAATTCAGCTCTATTTCCATATTTCGGCTTGATATAATTGTAGTGAAAATCGTACATCAACGACTTAGAAATATCAAGAATAGACATAAACATAAATAAACATAAATAGACATAAACATAAATAAACATAAATCGGCTTATTAAATTTAAGATGGGTTTTCCCCATATGAACCGCTATTAAATTCTCAGAGAATATTGTTCTTCTTTTAAAGTTAGGCTTCGAAGTTAATTTCTTTAATTGATCTTTTCGAGTGGCAAGTCTAATATCTTGCCGGTTTCGAATATTCTCCATAGTCTTACCGAAAACGCTGTTATTCATAAGCTTGAAGAAATCTCTCTCGAATTCATTATCAGCCCTAGTTCTGAGATTGGTATTTAACTTAATATAATCAGCCATCCAGTTCTTCTC